TCCGTGACCGCGTTCGCCCCTGCGCGTCGTGCCCAGCTGGATGAACATCGCCGCTGCCGCGCCATCCCATATGCACCCGTTGTTGCACTGCCCAAGGATAGCCTTGTGATCGGTCATGCTGATATTGGCCAACTTTGGTAGAAAGTACGCCCGCAGGTCTCCGCTCACAGCCGCATTTGCTGATCGAGACTCGCGCCTCTCACGACCCGTCTCCCGCCGCGAGATGCGCCCCTGCGCAGACTCCGACCTGTTGCGAAAACCACTGGGGGAATACTCCTCGAAAGCTTGCTGCTTCTGCAATGGGGCGATCCGCTCGCGCGCCTGTCGCGCTCTTGCCGCCGCCAGCTTCATTGAAGCACGTGGATCTTCGCCTGCTTTGTCCAACACTACTTGCGTTGCAATCTCGGCCGTCTTCCTCGCGAGACTTCGCGCTCGCCCATTTAAAGAACTCTTCAGCTTGATCGCGTAGAAATTCGGCAGCTTCCCTCCGCTCGCATAGTAGCCGAGGGTCGCTCGCTCCTCGGACAACTCGCCGCAGCTTGGGTCGCCGTTGTAGCGTGCGATGCCCTCTTTGCCCACGAAGAGGGATCCGTCGTTGGGATGCTGTTGTCTGGTCGCCATCTTGTCTGTAGTGATGATGTTGACGTCACTGATGATAGTGCCGCCGTCTCTGAAGATGGCGTCGCCGTCTCTGAAGATGGCGTCTCCGTCCATCTCGCTGTAGATATCGCTGCCCCTGCTGCTGTCCGGGTCGCGGCGGCGATTCTCGGCCAGGTTGCGGGCGGCGATGTTCAGCGCGTTGATCGCTGAAGGAAGTGCGCAGTGGTTAAAGCAGCGAATGTCTTGAGCGCCAGCACGCAACTGCACGGCCACTCACAATATGATTCTCGCAACCGTGGAACTGATCCAGCTCCAGGCTACCAGTGTAAATAAGTATGCATATCCTACCTTATCTTGTCCTTGCATCAAGTACTGGCGGGAGAGATATGGCGATCTCCATGTGCAATTGACCTAAGCAACCCCAAATGAGGAACGAGGCCCCTTTCTTCCATAAGTTGAGCTTGGATTTCCATCGAAAACCAAAGGCATGCCAAAGGCGAACTTTAGAGCGACTAAGGAATGCTGATCCCCTCCCAAACAAAAGGGGTTCCTTCCTCAGGGCCGCGACTGCAACCCGCGCGCCTTCTTCTCTAACTCTCGCCACGGGGCCCCCAACGTCGGTGAGAACAAATGTTCAGACTGGCGTGGCCGATCCCGCTGGTTGGCGCCCCGCGCAAGCGCCGACTCACGCCCCCCCTGGGCCCGGCGTCGTCAAGGTGCCAGTGGGGAAGCCAAGGTTCAAAGGACCCGATGCGACTCACACGCGTAATCTCTACTTACACGCATCAGCGCCACTCACGCTCATGCACTCCTTGGGCCTCGTGCCGTCACGGTGTCTGTTGGAAGGCCAGGGCGCAAAGGATCCTGGGCGACTCGCACTCATTAGCTCAATTCGCATCTTTGTCGGCGCTGAGCCCTCCCCGGTCCCCCCAGCCCCCGCGGAGCAGCAAAACCTCGCCATGGCGGAGGCGCGAAGGGGCGCCCAATACTTAACGCACGTTCTTCATCGTCGCGTTCTTCCATGGCCTGTCGAAGCAGCCCTCGCAGGAGAGCAGCGCGCACTTGATGACTGGCTTGACCTATGTACTACCAGCATATGGGCCCCCTCGCCATCACCCCTGACACAATGCGTGATGCGGCAGAACAGATTTGCACGAATGCCTGGACCAGGGACGTTTTTTGCCGGAGGACGGTGCCTCAGGGGAGTGGCCCACCTCCAAGTAGTGGGCTCAGAGCGGTGGGACCACGAGCTCCGCGACGCTCTGCGCCATCAGCAGATCCAAAGACCGTTTCGATCGCGAGGCGGGCAGAAACGGATTTCTCCCCGCCAACGAGCCCCCCACCGCCAGAAGTGCTTTTCGCTTCTGGGAGGCGGACCTCCACGGGCTCACCCTTGAACCTTGCGAGAGAGGCCTGGCTGCACCATGGAAAATCGCAAACCATCAAAACAAGAAGTTCCATGAAATTCATCAACAAACTTTACTCATAGAACACATGATTTCCGTGAAACCCATCGGACACCCTGGGCATTCGCAGAAACAAAACTTGATAGTCATGAAAATCATCAAGCACCGTCGCCATTGTATAACAAAGGAAAGCATGATTCTCCATGACGATCATCGAAAAACGTGGAACACGCTCCAGAGCCTTCCGTTCACCGATGGAATAATAAGAAGAATGGTTGTAGGAAAGGAACGTGGAACCGACGGATACAACGATAACGGAAGCGACAGAAGGAGTCGTCGAAGAAAAACGAGACGCATCAATATACATTTTCGGAGCGCTGCGCGAGTTTCTCAGATTTGCGCTGGGCCCCCCCCCTGGCGGCCTCCAGCGCCGCCCCTGGCGCGCCCCGCGCGTCAGGGAGGGGGTTTCAGTGAGATCCAAGAAATCTGCGCGGACCTCCGGAAATTTATGTTCATTCCGCTTTTCCTTCCGAAAGGAACATCATCAGCAGCAACGCGTGAGCTATCTTCAGCCAGTTCCTGTATTTCGTCCTACCGTCAACCGCTTGCCTCAGGAGGCCTTGCGAAATGACAGTGAGCGCAGCGCGTTGTGCATCAGCAGGGTGAGGGCTGGCAGGGGAGCGCATTCGAGCGGGCTCGGACGTCCTAGGGTTAAGTCGGGCCTGTCCCCCAACAGGGGGATATTCGATTATTTCTCAAACAAAAAATAATCAAAACATACTCAAACATGGTCAACACATACTCAAAACATCGTTTGTATCTTTTTACGATTTTCACGAATTCCTCCTGTAGAGGGACAGGCCCGACTTAATCCTAGGGCGTTCCAGTGGGCCTGTGTAAACTGGTGGGCGCGCACCTATGCACCGACCTGTTCGGGCCGATCTTTCTTGGAGCGCGCGTGCCAAAACAGTGTTCGCGTAGTTGCCGACAGAAGGCGCGAAAACCATGCGCCCCGTGTGGCGCGTGTGGGCAGGCGCGGGCAAGGCCGCAGCGGCCCGGGCATCCATGGCGGTGAACCGCCGCCCTTGGTCTGGACGCCGCCTTCAGGCGAGCGCTGCCTCGCGCCGACGCCATGAATCTGCGCTCGTGACCGGGAGCGCGAACAAAAATTGGGCGGGGCCGCGCGACGGCCTGGGAACGCGTTCGGGCGTGTTCGCCAGCACCCCCACCCATCCACCACATTGAGGAGGGGAGGAGCACTGGCTCTGGCAAGATTGAAAACGATGCCGCCGCGGGGGTTTGAGCCAAAATGGCGACGGTCCCCGCGTCCCCGCGCTCACCCTCCTTCCCCCCTCAGCCCACCATCGCCCCACCCATTGACCCCGCCGCGACCTCGCCTCCTGCCTCCGCCCCCGTTTGCATATCCCTTCCCTCGCGCCCCCCCCCCCCGGCCCCCCTCCCACCCCCCCGCCGTCCGTTCACCCATCCCCTTCCCCGCTCCGGTGTCCTTCCCTCAATTTTCCCCGCTCCCGCTTCCGTTCCCTGCGCCCGCCGGCCCCGCCGCTTCCTGCTCACTATCTGCCCGTCTCTGCCCCGTTCCCCTCCCCCCGATCCCCCCTCCCTCGAAGCCTCCAAAAACAAACGAAACAGGAGCGTCAAGGAATTTAGATGTGGTCTCCGCTCCTACACGAGTGGGGCACCATCGCCTGGCGCGGCCAACCTTTGGCCGATTCTATCGGTGGCTGGGCGCGAAGCCCCAGGTCACCGAGGCCACAGAAATTCCAGGAGGGTCACAACGAGATGTCCCATGGCTTCATAGGTGTATAGAATTTCGGTGGGTCGTTCTGCCTGATACACTCCGACCATTTCGTCGCCCCAAATTTTTATAACTACACTAACCGGGCCTTGGACTCTTCTCCTACAACTTTCTGATGTCCCAGAATCCCCGTGGCGATGTACAGTGGGCGACCGCATGCGGACGCCCCCGCGGGGACTGCAGGTGAAGCTCCACATGGGGCGCAACCTGAATGAAGTGCGACGGCATTGCCGGGGGCGGCTTCTGCGCCGGGGCCCTGCGTGGAGCTATCACGCGGAGCCCAATCTGTTCAAACGTGCGCAGGGATTTGCTTGGACGCGCCATACGCAAGAATGACTGCCCCTACTGGGCTCGTAGAGTCGCGCTCTCTGTGGGGCGCCATCCCATTGAAAAGGAGTGCCCGAACGAGCGCGGTGACGCCATGGGAACTCTCACTGGAGCCTTCAGTGCAACTATGGCCGCGATCTTCGCGAGGGGCATGCCGACGCGGGCGCGGAGACGCAATTCGAGCGCCCCCACGGCCCGTGGGCGGAGCTCCCTCACTGACTCGAGCCGCGGGAACGGCGCGCCGTAATGGCTGCGGGTATGCTTTGGGACCGCCCTTCCTGGGCCTCGGGGCGGGGTCCATTGCGGGCTGCAGTCCGCGCTATGGGCGCGCCGAAAAGAGCGCGGAGACGCTTTAGGCGCGCCCCTGCTTGGACCATAGATGGAGCCCCCCCACGGGGCGCGATCCGTGCGACGAGCTTGCCGAACTGATCGCTACGTTCGCAGCAACAGCAACGGATGGCACAGACGGGCCACCAGCAGCTCGCAGCAGGCAACGCAGCAGAGGCGGCTGCGAGAGGAGGAGGGCGGGGGGAGGCGGGTAAAGGAGGAAGACGCACGGCGCAGCGGACGGAAAACGAAACACATATCAACGCAATAATATTGGAAGAACAAGCGGCACCGAAAGAATCCCTGCCAGAAATTATACATCTGGGAAATGGATTGGTGAATAGACACACTCCTCCGATAAACTGCTCGTGGGATCCAGGAAAGGGTAAGGCGGAGGAGCCGGCGGAGGGAGGGCGTGGAAAGGAGGGCCTTGGGTTTGCAAGTGCTGCCGCCCACGATTGCCTGCAGGAAGAACCTCCTGAACAAGTCTGCCCACACTACGGCTGTATTTTCGGAGCGCTGTGTCACATCCAGCCCCGCAATTGCCGAACAGACAGGGTACATGCACAGCACCACGTAGAAGAAGTGCAAAGACCTCAAGCCACTGCCAAGTGGTACACTGGCACCGATGCCGGCCAGGCCCCTCCTGGGCCTACAATTGGTGTGGTGTATCCGCCGCGTGCCCCATGGCACGCAGGATGCCCGGTGACTGCTTGATAGGTGTATTGTACTTCTCTGAGGGCGCCCCGACCCGTCCCCCAAACCACCCTATGAAGAAGAGCCCCCTCACGCGCTCCACGGAGGCCGAGAGCCTCAATATCCCGAATTGAAACTCCAAGAAACCAACGAGGTGGTTCAAAGAGGCATCCAAGAGGACGTCCATGAGCCTTCGGCCGTTGGTGACCCAGACGCGTTGCAAAACCATGTTGTCTTGCATCGCAGCCCAAATGAATTTCAACGCTGACTGATTGACTGTCTCACTGTGGCACTGATGAGGGAGTTTGGTGCGCGGGGGAGGCCGGCATAGTGTGTGCCAAGTGTACCAGGGAGCAAGGGGATACCAATTTTGGAGATGGGGTTCTTTGGGTGGCAATTTAACCGTGGGTGGGCGACATTGCAAGTTTAGCAAGGTCGCTACGGATATTGAGGTGGCCGTTTGAGCCAAGGGTATGAAGATGTGTTGGTGGTATGTTTGCTGGGAAGTGGGGATGCCGGTATAATGCTTGGCCAATTATAAAGAGCATTGTGGTTTCAGCCAGGGGGTAGGGATATCTTTGTGGCCATTCTACCGGGGGTGGTCCTTTGGATGCAGCTTCTAGCCTGGGATGGGAAACGTGACAAATTCGAATGTGTATATCAAGTGGGAACTACAAGCCTGGGTAAGATAAGCTCCAATTCTGGTCCAGGGCCCAGGGTATATTTGGGTGACCGTTGCATCCAGAGCGGCGATGATGTCTTGGTGACAGTTCTCATTGCAAGTGTGAGGACATGTTGGTGACGTCTCTGGCATACGATCTGAAAAAGTATGACTAGTAATGCCAGACAGGTTGTAAGGACACCTGAGTGGGGCATGTAGTGGAGAATGTATGTTCGGTGGTTATCTTCACTGTGGGCTAGGCCTTGGCAGCCTGTCCCCAATGGCCCGCTCAACCCAGGGTGGGTGGGGGTTGTAGCAGCTCAGCCAAGACATGAAGATATGTTGATGGCACGTGTTGTCCGCCATCAGGCCTTGCCTTAGGGGTCCTTTCCTCTTTGGCTCCCCAGTTCTGGAGGCAGGACAAGGGGTGTGGTTTCAAGGGGTGTGGCTCCAATGCTGGATCTGGCGAGGTAATCTATCGTAGATAGCAGCGCGATCTCCACGATTGTCGGCTACACGCAAGAGTGACTCTGGGTAAGAGAGACCTTTGGTGCGTGGCTTTTTGGGGGGCCGCACGGAGACCAAACCTGGGCGCGCAAGCCGCAGCTACCACTTCGTTTTCGGCCATCTGAGGGCCCATCTGTGCTCGCACCGGAGGTCACTCCGGCGAAGGGTCACTCTTACGCCTAGTCGAGATTGGCACCACGCCCCTTCATGCCACACCCGTTTCCAACCTCCAGACCAATGCGGCACGGCCGCCTGGGCGCCAAAGGGCCTCGGGTGCCCGGGCGCCCCTGGTGCCGTGGTGTGCCGTGCTGCGGTGTGCCGTGCTCTGCTGCGCTGTGCCGTTGTGCGTTGCCGCTGTGTTGTGCTGCGCTCTGAGACTGTGCGCTCGGCGAGGCGCGCTGCTGTGCAGCGCTACGACAGGCTGCACGTGCCGCTGTCTGCCGTGCAGCGCCCTGCTTCAGCACGCTATGCCCAGGTGGAGCCCTGAGTATGAAGGGAAACTGGGACACACAAATAAATACACACAAATAAAAAGATTCCCCATATTTTCCTATATTTTCTGGGTTTTTGTCTTCCCCACCACTTCCCATATTTTCCCATATTTTCTGGGAAATCGACGATTACTTGTGTCTGTGTTTTTTTTTTTTCCTCCTGAGAGTAACCCGCCAAACTCGCTCCAAAGCTGGCCCCAGGATTCCGCGAACGGCCCCGAGACCCAGCCGAGGCGGCCCCAAATACCTTTCAGGGCTGCCAAGAGGACCCCCACGCCCACCCACCCCAAAAAACAAGGGCGTGTCCAACCCATGTGCAACAAGTGGCAGCATGAACAGGCCGATTCCAGGGAAGGGCATGCGAACGCTGTAACTGTAAGATGCCATAGCGATGCACGCCAGCTGCACGGGAAAGGAGGTGGATGGGGGAAGCAAAGAGAGAGGACAACGACTAGAAGTAATACATGAGGACAAAGAAGCTGGGACCTGCACCGCACGACCGAACCGCAACATGAGGGAGGCCCTCCTGGCGGGTCAGAGGCGCCTCGCCAGGAGGGCCCTCCTCCACCTCCTCCTCCTCCTCCTCCTCCTCCTCCTCCTCCTCCTCCTCCTCCTCCTCCTCCTCCTCCCTCCTCCTCCTCCTCCTCCTCCTCTCCTCGTCCTCCTCGTCTCCTCCTCGTCCTCCTCCTCGTCCTCCTCCTCCTCCTCCTCCTCCTCCTCCTCCTCCTCCTCCTCCTCCTCCTCCTTTTTGGACATGCAGCAACTACGGACGGCGAGGTCTAGCTTGGATCTGCGTGAAGTGCCACTCCGCTGGACCTTCCGCAAGCGCAGAATAGTGAACACCCTCTCCCACTCGACCCGCGACCGACCATGATCAGTGCCTTCCTATCATCCCGATGGGAAAACAAGGCAAAAACATGACTTTGCGGCATAATCTAAATCATGATCTGGTGATTTGCGATGAATTTGCACTGTCTGTCCCCGGCCATATTGTAGTACTGGGTCCTCGCTTTGAACAAAAAACGCCCTACCGCTGCCCAGTCCCCCATCCGTGCCCCTGCCACCTGCGTGCACAATTCGGCACACCTCACACATGTTTCGTGGCCCGCACAGGGAATTCCATCGACCCCCCCAAGAAGGGGATTTCGCGTGCGGTTGGTATCAATGTGGACACACCCCTCACACGCTTCGTGGCCCCATGGGGAGCTCTACCGAAACACCCAAGGTTGGGGCCTGGCATGCGGTTCGCACCCATGTCGGCACACCCCTCACCCGTTGCGTGGCCCGATAAAAAGATCCACCGAAACCCTCGTGGGGGCAGAAGGATCGTGCGGTTCCCTACATATTTCGGTACACCCCTCAACCGCCTTGTGGCCCCATTGGTGCCAAAAACTATTGCCGAATAGCTGGGGGCGCACACGCACTTCACAATGCTGGCAGGGTCGCCGACACTGTGCTTCGTTTCTGTCAGGGATGGTGGGGGGAGGTACGACGTATTGCCCGATGTGTGTTGGGACGTGCGGTGGCTGACTCGCACATTCCGCGCGCGACACGCACGTGCCGCACCTGGCGCGGTTGGAACACGTGGCACACTGAGCGCATGTGGCACGTGGCGCACGTGGCGCGCCAGGCACGCTTCGGCCCATAGGACCCCTCGCGCAGCTGGTGCGCGTGGCGCACCTGTCACGCGCGGCGCAACGCGCCGGCGTCCTGCACCAGGTCGCCATCTGCATTGGTTCACGATGGTTGTCGATGGCAGCCCCTGAACATGCTGAGACTGGGGGGCGACTTGTGTAGAGGGAGGGCGGGAGGGAGTTGCAAAGACAGGTTGCAGAGCCCCCGCCGGGAACTTGACCTTGTTCAATACCCATGAACAGTCCATCCCCCACCCGACCGGCCGTCAACCATGGTCAATGCCAACGCCCCCGCCCGCCATTCTCGTGAACTGCTCCGACGGTAGGACCCAGCATGGGAATCTCCAGAACTAGTACGGAGGTGAACCTCATTATCGTCTGTCTGGGTGCAGGGGCGCTCTCCCCGCCCCCTCATCGCCCTTCTTCTCCCCCTGGCAGCGGTCCCCTTCCCGCCCCGTGCTCTGGCTCCTCCTCGTCCTCCTGCATTTTCTCCCCTCGTCCACCTCCTCCCCCGCCCCTTTTCACCAGCGCGCGCAGGTCCATGTTCATCGGCGCCATCGCCGCCGCGCCCGGCAGGGACGCGCTCTCCGATGGCCGAATCGAGAAGCCACTGGGGCAAAAACCGCAGGCCTCGAGGTAGACGCGGCCGCGCTCGGGCGGGAAACAGCGCGAAGCCAAGCTCTGCCGCGAGCTGTTCCGCCTCAGCCCTGGGCTTTCCGCCCTCTCTTCTCGAAATCCCCGAGCGCCCTTCCGCAGTGGCGCCGGCGGCCCGCGCTCCAAAAACTCCCTCGTGGCCGGCCGCAGGATCAGCGCGTTCCGCGCGCGCGTGATGCGGGATAACATGGCGCGGAGGCGCAGCCACCGCTGCCTGTCCGACACGCTCGCGCTACCAGCGCCCTCGCCCCTGGCGCAATAGATGGCGACGCTTTTGCGAAGCGTCTGACCCTGCGAAAACGCGGAGGCCAAGTAGGACGCGTGCGTCACGGTGAACCCCTCGCGGCGCACGACGCGCGGCACCGAGCTCTGCCACGTGAGCTTCTACACGCCAGACCTTCACAAGAGCAGCCTCCTCGCCCCAGCCTCGGCCTCGCCGTCGCCGCCAGCGCCTTCGGCGCCCCGCAGCAGCAGCTCGGCGACCTCCTGGTAGATCGGAGACTCCTAGGAGCCGCGCGCCTGCATCCATATTCCCTGCGGTAGGTAGCGGTGGCGAAAGAGCTGGCCCAACGCGTAAAGTCGCACTGCTGCACGTCGCCTGGGTGAAACGCGAAGGACACGGCGGTGGCCCGTTGCTCCTGCGCAAGCCCCAACTTCTGCTCCAACTCCTCCTGCGCGGCCGTGAACTCAACCTCCACGCCGCCGCGCGCCGGCAGAACGCCGCGGATGTCCCCCATCCTGCGCGAGTTCGGGACGTCCGGCGCCAGCCCGCGTCGGGATCGCCGCGAATCATGCTACACTCGTCCGCAGGACAACCTGGGGCGCGCTGCGGCGCCGCGCCTCGCGAGGAGCGCGGTCGTTCATCCACCTCGCCAACATCTCCCAGAAAATGCCCACGCCGTGGCAGAGGCGATAGTGCTAGTGCTGGCGCAGAAGGTCCAGGACGCCGCGGTTGTCCGAGGCCAGCGTTTCCTCCCAGGCGGACCAGACCTCTGGTGGGAAGGGCTTGCGCTCGCGCGTGCAGCCCAAAAGCGTGATCAGAGGGCCCCCGGGCTCGAATCGCTTCGTGCCCTTGAGCTCGAAGACGCCGGGGGTCTGAGACAAGACCCCGACGGCGCTGAACCTCCATCGTCGGCGGCTCCGCGTATTTGTGCGACCCGTTGTCCAGGAGCTCGTTCAAGTCCGCCAGCAGGCCGATTCTGCCGGCGGGCCTCAGCAGTGACGCTGCCAAGGCGCACAAGGATGGGAACGCGCCCGATGTGGTCGAGCGGTCGCTTGTAGGTGGGCTCCTGCGCGTCGTGCGTGTCCCTTTGTCGGCGGCAGGCGCGAAGATCCAGCGTTGCACAGTGCGGCCGCCATCGTGCTCAACACCTCGATGGCAAGAACGCGGACGTGTTCCCACAACGATTTCGAAATCTCATGCAGGCCCCTCCGGCCTCAATTTCGCATCAGCTTATTTCTGGGTCCGCAGAGCACAGACATTGCGCAGTGCAGCGTACCGTTCTGGCATTCGCCGCTTCTGTGGACATGGTCTTCGCCTGTTCGTTCCAGAAGGCCACGATCATCATGGTGGGTGTCCAGCGTCTTCACCGGGCCGCCCTGGCCCAGCAGGAGCAACTGCGTGAGCTTCCTCTCGCCCCAAGGTTTCTTCTGCAGGTCGTCCTCCCAAGCTTCGTCGCAGGCCCTGGCGAAATTGTCGACGAAGAGCGTCCGGTCCCGCGTGAGTTTCTGGTCCTCGGGCAGCCCATCGACCAGGGCGCCGATGTTCGCGCTGGGCGTCGAATGCTCACTGCCGTCGAAACTGGCCACAGCAGGGGAGCCGCCAAGGCCACGAGCGTCCTCGACGGGGCCACCGTCGACGTCCACGTCACTTTGGTCGCGGCTACCCTGGAGGCGGTCGTCGTGCAGGGACGCGAAGGAGTATCTCGCGTCGAGCGCCGCGTTTACTTCAAGCCAATACCAAACCGCTTGCGCAGGAGCGGTCGCGTCCTCCGTCGGCTCAGGCACGCCCGCGCCCTCGCGGGCTGCCGCCTCGGACGCGCACGTGAGTGCGATAGGTTGTTTGGCCATTTTGGCAAGGCGCTTACGGTGCGCGACGTTCACCACGTCCGCTATGACTCTCCACCCGTCGATATCCCACGTCCTTTCCAACTCACAAACAAAAACCCCGCATGGGACTTCCTCCTTACCCGAGCATGCAAGGGTTAGTTGCACATGGCGGCACTTACAATGTTCCGATGACCCGCTCGGATTGATGATATGAGCTGTGGGCCCAATGGGGAGGGGGCTTACGCATGTGACTCCCTCGAGGTTCACTCACAAACATGGCTCCCCGCGTGAAGCTTCCTCCTGACCCAAACTTACACAAAAAACTGACAACATTAAAATTGTTCCGACGACCCACTCGGATTAATAATGTGAATTGCGTACTCCATAGGGAGGGGGCTCCCCGTTGAGACGTCCTCGCAGTTCACTCATATACAAGGCCCCGGCGTGAGACTTACTCCATACTCAAGCATGAAGAGGCTAAACATGATGACGGATACAAGGTCCTGATGGTCCGCTCGGCTTAGTCACATGAGCGACTGGTTCCATAGGGATGGGGATCCCGCCTGAGACTTCCTCGCAGTTCGCTCACAGACGAGGCTCTGGCGTGAGAATTCCTCCGTGCAAAAGCTTGACGAGGCCAAAAGTGAGGACAGCTACACGGTTCCGACGGCCAGTTCGGATTAGTAATATGTGCTGCGGGCACTAAAGGGAGGAGGCTCATCAACGTACTACAATGATCGTCGTGGAAGTGCTGATGTTGGTGATGGTGATGATGGTGCTTGTGGTAACTGTAACGACGGTGACGATCAGGCTGATGGCGATGATAATGACGACGATGGGTGCTCCACTGACACGCACTTGAGCTTGTTTGAGGGTGTGTGGGGGGGTGTGCGCGATGTTGATGCCTAATAATGATGGTGTGGTTATGATGACGATGATGATGATGGTGATGATGTGTGGGGGGGTCTTGTTCCTGCGCGGCGGGGTCCTGAGCAGATAAGACCCCCGCAAGATGCAAGGCGAACAATACAGATCTACGCTCGCTAAAAAATGTCAAGCGCCCCGCGATCACCCAAGAACCAGAGCGACAGACCCGCGAAAGCCTTGATGGATGACTCCTGTCGTCGGCGTCGTCATAACCGTCCTCCCACATCCTCCTCCTTCTCCCATATATTCCTGGTCCGTCCTCTTCCTCCTCCTCCTCCTCCTCCTCCTCACCATCCTATTCCTCAGCCTCCTCCTTCTTCTTTTTCTTCGACGGCAAACCTCAGCACTCCCACTACTGGGTATGCTCAAGCTGCTGCCGAGATCCGGTTGGACGGCGGATCCGCCAGTCTGTCCCCCTGCGGCGACGGGGCGAAAAACCAGAAGCGAAGGCAGCGAACGAGAGGCGCCCTCGAGGCGCCCACGATCGGCGTCCGGGCGAACAGAAAACAGACAAAACGCCAGCGAAGCGAAGGCTCACTCGCCAGTAGGCTCCCCTGCGGCGACCAGGGCGAAGACCCGGAAGCGCAAGCAGCGAACGAGAAGCGCCCTCGAGGCGCCCACGATCGGCGTCCGGGCGAACAGAGCACGGACAAGGAGGCCAGCGAAGGAGAGGCGCCCACGGACGGCGGCCCGGCGCCGCAGGTGCCAAGGACCGAGAGGCGCAGGAAGACAACCGCAGGTGCGAGCACTGCTTCGGGAAAGCGGGAGGGAGGCAGCCAGGCCCCCTCGATTTTGAACAAAAAGCACGGCGGAAGGCTTTTCTCAATGCTCGGCCCCCCGGGGCCCTTGCCTGGCCTCGGGGGCGTCAAAAAACGGCTGGGGACGAGAAACTGGTCCCGGGGAGCGGGTCGAGACCTGTGGGGGTCGACGTGTGGACAACTCAGAACCAAGGGAGGAGGTACGGCAAATTCGTGTCGTGACGACCCTGGAGTTGGCTTCTGACACCGTGTGGATCGTTCAACCTTGAAAAATCGGCGGCTTGTCGATCGCCCCATCGTTCCATGTAGGCCGACTCTGGGCCACTGGCGGCGTTCAACCTTGAACGCCCGCGGCGGGGTCGCCGCACGACGCGAACGTAGCGTACAATCATAACGTGTATCAAGGACGGGTGTCAGGGCGACAGCAATCGAAAACGCATGCCAGCCACTAAGAAGCTCAGCAAGTAACCCCAGGTGCGAGCACTGCTTGGGGGAAGCGGGAGGGAGGAGGGAAAGGAGGAGGTACAATCAAGACGTGTATTAAATGCGGGTGCTAGGGCGACGACGGCCAGAAACGCATGTCAATCACCGAGCTTGGGGGAACCGGGAGGAGAAGGATGAGGATGGGCGCATCGGGGGCGAATCCGAGCAGCAGGCCACGATAGGGCCTGAAGACGGCAAGGCGGCCCCCGCGAGTGATATGTGCGCAGGGCCAGGCAGCTCTCTGCCTTGGCCTGCCCAGGGCACCTCGCGGGCTGTCCGCTCTCCACCCACCCCGCTCCCACCCACCTAACAGGGGATGCGTCGACCCCTATCCCAGGCTCCGTGAGGTTTTCGAGAGGATCAACAATTTGGGGCCCAACCCTGGGATATACGAGGGGGGGGCGTCCATCCTCGACAGTGCGTCCGAATAGCCCCCTCGGGATGTATCCCAAGATTCCTCCCCTTTTCTGAGCGACCAAACTTTTCTGGCGGAAGTCGGGGATTGGGGGAGAGAAATCGCCTGCGACCACCGGGAAACTGGAGGGAGGAAGGGAGGAGCTGCAATCAGAACGCAAGCCCCTCGGAGGAGGCCGAAACGGAATTCTGTTGGCCCACGTGCACGCACCGCTTGGGGGAGACGGGAGGGAGGGAGGGAGGAGGCAGTCAAAACGTGCATTAAGGACGGGTGGCAAGGACGCAAGACCCTTGGAGGCCGAAGTTGGGATCCTTTGGGCGACGGGAGACACGGGGAAAGGGCAGAGGACCGGCCGCAGAGGCAAGAACACAAGAGCACCCTAGCCGAAGTCGCGCGTCCTTACCAGGGGCGTTGCCTGTATGATGAAGAACGAAAGAGGATGGAAGAGGGAGCAACAATGCACCATCCAAAACGAGGGCTCAGCACAGACGGGTGGAACAAGAAACCCCGAGAAGGAGCCACTAATAGCGATCTGATCCCCGTGTGCATGATAGATCTTGGTGGACCCATGTGAGGACCACCTTGCAGTCGCATCGATCCTGCGCTGGCTCGGTGGTGGGGTTTGCCGCAGGCAGCTGGATAGACTCTTATACGCGAATCCTGTCCAGGAGGAGCCTGGACAGCATAGCCGGTGTATAGTTGGCAGTTCTCCAAAACCTGGTGGTGACGCAGTCGGGGAAGCCCTGCACGACCACGCAGGCGACCAACAGGAGGGAAATCTGGACGTTATCTGGAGCTCATGTTTTCATTTTTCGAAATCACACCCATTACCAGCCCCCCCCCTCCACCCATTGGTAGCGTCACGACTCGGGCCGGCACCGTGCGTGTAGGAATTGGCCATTCCTGAGCATTCCCAGACGGCGCTGGCGCGGATCGTGCCGTTACAAGCCCACCCCCTGTTCTCCCACCCCTCAGTCACGACCACTATCGCCAGGGGGAAAAAGGTCTCCTGTATGCCACAGGATCTCGCCACTACCCACCACGAGGCCATTCAAGGACCTCATCCCAGAGAAAGCCACGATGAATACAAGCAAGGGAGGAGCCAGATAGCACGCCCGCTGCTTCACAAACACGATGCGCTCCCTCTCCATCATGCTCAGCGCCTGCGGGTCCCACCTGTAGAGCAACACAAACAGGAACAAACATATACTCTCGGAGTTCCGCGCGGATTTCGTGGATCGGCGCTGGGCCCCCCTGGCGGCGTCTCCGGCGCCGCCCCTGGCGCGATCCAAGAACTCCGCGCGGATCTCCGAGAGTCCATGTTGATTCGGCGGCGCGCCCAGGGGGAGTGAGAGGGGGAGGCCTTCTCAGAAGGCTCGGGAATCCTCTGGCCTTTTGGAAAGTGCTCGAAGCCTTGTCCGAAAACAGAAATAACCGCTCCGAAGGCTGGAAGGCTCCTGAGAAGCCCCGCCACCTTCTGAGAAAGCCTCCTCCCTCTCGCTTCCCCCCCTCGCTCGCCGCCGATACCGCTACTCCCCGGACCTTTCCAAAGGTGCGTACTGACCAGAATTTCGAAAAGGACCTAGCCTTGCCGACGAAGGCTTGCTAGGATGAGCAGCGGACGTCTCGAGAAAAAATCGCGGGAGAAATCACGACTGGACCCCATTTTTCTGCGCCAATTTCCGAGCCGGATCGATCTGTGAGGGTCCTGGGGCCCGAATCTGGGCGAAAACGTCTGGCTCGAAAAAACGGAGACGCCAGGATCTCAGGGATTGCTCTTCCTCGACACCTGCCCAGCTTCCAGCACTGCCTGCGCAGAAGCCTGTCGACTACACGCAAGCGTGGCCCTGGATAAGTCTGGCCTTTGGTACGCGGCATTTTGGGGGCCGCGGGGGGCCAAACTCAAGCGCGCAAGACGCCACTGCCGTCGCGTTCGGCGCTCGGGAGGCCCCGGTGGGCGTGCACCAAAGGCCACTCCGGCGAAGAGTCACTCTATACGTTCGGTGGCAACTCATGGGAGCCTCCCATAATTACCATCTTGTCGGCTCTTGCGAATCGACGCTGATCGACTCGACTCGACTCGACGCTAATCGACGCTGAATCGACACGAATCGACGCCAGCCGACGCTAAAGCGGCACTATCTCGTCGACTCCCAGACGCGAATCGACGCTGGTCGACGCTAAGAGGGTATGCCAGGCGAACGCTCACTCCGGGGCGTCCAAGCAAGGGGGGCGTCCAAGAGAGGGGGGGTGCAAATCATGGCCAGCGGCATGTGCGCGGCCCGGGGGGGGGGCTGGGGACGTACTGAAATAAGAAGCGGCGCCATGAAATCCTTGGAGATCCCATAGCACCCGCCATGATATCCCCCTCCCATAGTCATCACGCCCCTCTTCCCAGACCCCCGGCGCCGTGTTTTTTTCAGAACCTCGACCCCCAGAGGTGGTCTGGACCCCTTCCCCGATCGCTTCTCGACGGCCCCGAAGCCCCCTGAAGGCCCCCCGGAGGCCGAACAAAAAGCGGATCAAGAACCGCCGCGATGTTTCCGCCGCGCGAGGAGCTCTCGGCCTGCCGCCCCCCCGACTTGCGTGCAGTCGACGCCTGGCGCAGCCGCGGAGGCCGTCGCCCGCTCTGGCCGCGCCCCGGGCCCAGGCGAGGCCTCACGCGAGCGACGCGCCCTGGCCCGCGCCCCTTCGCGCCCCTCGCGGCCGCGCGGCTCCCCGCGGCCGCAGCCCCCCGGGGGGGTGGCACTCGCGCTGCCCCGGCTGTGGACCAGCTGCACGCAGGAGCGGCCCCGGGCCAGCTGGGCGCCCGAGTTCTCCGGGGCAGCCCGGTCCCGGGGTCACTCGGGCTCGGATCCCCGGAAGACAAACCCGAGTTGGCCCTGACCCGAGCTACCCCGGATGAGTTGGGGCTCTCGACGCCCGAATGATCCGGGGTAACTCGGGCCCGGGGTAACTCGGGTTCGGGTTCCCGAAAGCCGAGCCCGAGTTAGCCCTGATCCGAGTTACCCCTGGTGACTCGGGGCTCTGGGTAAGAGTGACCTTTGGTGCGCGGCTCTTTGGGGGGCCGCGGGGGAACCAAACACAAGCGCGCGAGACGCTCCTATCGTATCGCGTTCAGCGATCGGGAGGCCCCAATGGGCCCGCACCAAAGGTAACTCCGGCAAAAGGTTACTCTTTACGTGTAGCCGAGTTGTGCAGGGACCGACCGTCCTGGCATTCCGACAGGCCTGCCATGACAGGTTTTTAGAACGCAGTGGTTTTCTAAGCACGAAAGCACGGCTCTTATCGGCGATGAACAAACCTCTTAATAAACCTCACTGTGCTGAAAACGGCCTAGGACCGAAACCGACGGACCTGGACACGCAAACATGACGGCCGCGACGTCCTCTCGCGAGCCGAAAACGGCCAATTCGCTAGTCGACGTGCCAGGGTAGGCGGTCTGTCAACCTCCGATCTTAGAACAGAAACCCGATGTGCCAAAAGCAAGACATGTTCACAGCCAGACATGTTCGAATAGCATGTTGTGCAGACACGAACAGGCTCTCAGAACATTATTTGGTGGCCCTGTGTGCGAGCCAGGGCGCTACGCCGCTGCTCGAGGCTGCGCTCCGCGGAGGGCGCCCCGTGGGGAGACCACGGGTCGGCTGCACGCAAAGGTGACCCCTGGGCCAGGAGTGACCCTCCCCTGAGACCCCTGAGCATCGCTCGGACGTCCATTCCCTGTGTTTTTTTCGGTTTCGTGCCTTTTTTTTCGCCAAATGATGAAGGATGCTCCTCGATGGTCCTTGCCGGAGGAAAAAATGCGCACGTCCGAGCGATGCCAAGACCCTGGCGCCGCAATTCTCTTCGAGCCCGGCGTCTTCGCCCCGCCCCGGGCCCAGGGGCCCTCGCGGATCGCTCCGGCGCGACACGCGGCGCAGCAGGAGGGGGTCCGGGGCTGCAGCTGCGACTTCTCGCGGCCTCTCGATTCTTCCGGGACGTCGGGTCTCAGGGCTTCCTCCTCCTCCTCCTCCTCCTCCTCCTCCTCCTCCTCCTCCTCCTCTTCCTCCTGCTCCTTTTCCTCCTCCTCCTGCTCATCCTCCTCCTCCTCCTCCTCCTTGGGGCGCGCCATAGGGGGGACGCGGGGGGGGAGGGCCAGACCTCAGCGCGCAGGCTGCTGCCATCGCATCGCACGCAGCGATCGGGAGGCCCCAGCGGGCGCGCACCACAGGTCACTCCGGCGAAGGGTCGCTCCTACGTGCAGTCGAAGGGAAGGCACCGATGCCACTACTCCCCAGACCAATCCTGGGGCGCGCTCGGAGCAGAACAGAGCAAGAGCAAAACGACATACAGCTAAAAAACTGATGGCTGGAATGCGCGATGAGGGATGCAAGGGCCGTGGACGCCCATGTCCAGGCCCTTCGAGCGGGGCTGGCCATCGAGAGCGGTTAAGGATGGACCGAAGAGGCAAGAATGCAAGGGCACCCTTAGGAATCTTGTCCATCCACATCATCGGTTTCGACTGTACTCCCCAGCCCTCTTCTTGGGAGGCGTTCTGACTAGGATAGAAGAAGAGCAACACAACATAAGCATAAACTGTCGGAGATCCACGCGGACTCCTTGGATCGGCGTGGCGCTGGAGGCACCGCCAGTGGGGCCCCAACGCTGGTCCAAGGAATCCGCGCGGAGCTCTGAAAGCTTGTGTTGATGCCGATATTTGTTTCCCGACAGAAATGTCGAAGCGACTCCAGCCGCGGCAACGAGGGAATGGTAGCGGCATCGGTCGCTTTCCCTCTTCCGAGCTCGCGCCGAGCGGAGGCGGTGCGCACCCGCACCCAGGGGGGGAAGCGATCGGGGAGCCCCGACCACGAGGGGCCGTGGACGCGGACAAGCTCGCTCGGGGGTTGACAGAACCCCGAACAACCACTGGAGGCGCGCTCGAACAACTCACTCCGCACTGCAACCGGCCTGATGCGAGTGGAACGTTCGACTTATATCGAGCTCAGCTGGAAAAGGTGGTAGCGTACGTACCCGGTCTAGAACTGCCCAATGCAGGAGTCTGCGCGGCTGAGAGCGCCGAGGTCGGTCCATTATTGCACCGTGCGGTGACCTCGAGCTCCCCAAAAGACCTCACCGCACGGCCCGCCACCGCACGGCGCTGGGACCCGGGAGGCCCCCCTCGCCCGAGACGTCCCTGGGGGGAACCTCCCGAGCCCCGAGATCGTGCGGTCACCCGAAGTCTCCACCGACACCCCACACCATGTTGTCACGACACGCCGTCTGGGGGCCCCCGGCTTCCGCAAAACGCCCGTCCAGGGAAGGCGGCCCCAAGCCAGCAACAGCTGCTGGCGCCACGCCCGGGTCGAGACCTGCCAACATCGACTTGGCGAGGTGAGGCGCGGGGTGGGGCAGCCTTGCAGGACAAGAGCGGGAAGCGCCGGTTCTCTGAGCTTGCGTTCGCGCGCGCATGGATTTGCAACCAACTCGCATGCGTGTACATGGAAGCGATCAGCAATCTGAATCACGAGCCAGTTGTCCCTCGCAAGCTTGTTCATTGTTCCCCACATGCTTAGTGGGGTTGTGGTTTTCTTCCTTCCCGCGTCGCACCCGCGTCTCCTCCTCCTCCTCCTCCTCCTCCTCCTCCTCACCCCTCCTCCTCTCTCCTTCTCACACAGCGCCGCGCAGCGCAGCACAGCGCAGCACAACACAGCACAGCACACAGCACATTGACACACGGCACGTACCCAGCACAGCAGCACAACACTGCTCAGCACAGCTCAGCTCAGCTCAGAACAGCAGAGCACAGCACAGCTCAACTCAGCACAGCACAGCTCAGCACTGCACAGGACCTCAGCACAGCACGGTTCAGCACAGCACTGGAGAGCACTGCAAAGCACAGCTTCCCCACATGTTTCGTGGGGTTCTGGTGTTCTTCCCCACATGCTTCGTGGGGTTCTGGTTTTCATCTCTGCCGCGTCGCACCCGCGTCTCCTCACCCACCTCCCCTCCCTCCTCCTTCCTCCCCTCCTCCATTTCCTTCCTCTCTTCACCCACACGCAACCCACGCACGGCACGGGCACCAAACACGCGTCGACATGCGGCCGCACGCATACACACACTCGCACATACACCGGACAACGCTAGCGCACGCCTCCGACACCAGAGGCACGCTAGTGCACGCAAAGCCTAGCAGGCGAGGCAGTTTCTCGACACCAGAGGGGGTGCGCAGGGCGTGGTCTCTCAGCGCGGCCGCTATCCACGGCACTGTCACAAAGCCTGGCAGGCGTGGCAGTTTCTCGACACCATTAGGGGGTGCGCAGGGGGTGGTCTCCCAGCGCGGCCGTTATCCACGACACTGTCGCAAACCCTAGGAAACGTTGCACTTTTTGGACACCATAAGAGGTTCGCAGGGCGTGGTCTCTCAGCGCGTCCGCTATCCACGGCACTGGCTCAAAGCCTGGCAGGCGTGGCAGTTCCTCGACACCACAGGGGGTGCGCAGGGGGTGGTCTCTCAGCGCGGCCGCTATCCACGACACGGTCGCGAAGCCTAGCAAGCGTGGCAGTTTCTCGACACCATAGGGGGTGCGCAGGGCGTGGTCTCTCAGCGCGCCGTTATCCACGACACTGTCGCAAAGCCTCGCAGGCGTGGCACTTTCTCGACACCATAAGGGGTGCGCAATGGGTGGTCTCTCAGCGCGGCCGCCATCCACGACACTGTCGCAAAGCCTAGCAGGCGTGGTACTTTCTGAACACCATAAGGGGGTGCGCAGGGGGTGGTCTCTCAGCGCGGCCGCTATCCACGACACTGCCGCAAAGCCTAGCAGGCGTGGCACTTTCTCGACACCATAAGGGGTACGCAGGCGGTGGTCTCTCAGCGCGGCCGCTATCCACGACACTGTCGCAAAACCTAGCAGGCGTGGCACTTTCTCGACACCATAGGGGGTATGCAGGGGGTGGTCTCTCAGCGCGGCCGCTATCCACGACACTGTCGCAAAGCCCTGCGGGCGTGGCACTTTCTCGACACTATAAGGGGTGCGCAAGGGGGTGGTCTCCCAGCGCGGCCGCTATCCTCGACACGGTCGCAAAGCCTAGCAGGCGTGGCACTTCCTCGACACCACAAGGGGTGCGCAGAGGGGTGGTCTCTCAGCGCGTCCGCTATCCACGACACTGCCGCAAAGCCTAGCAGGCGTGGCACTTTCTCGACACCAGAGGGGGTGCGCAGGGGGTGGTCTCTCAGGCGCAATCGCTGTCCACGACACTGCCGCAAAGCCTAGCAGACGAGGCACTTCCTCGACACCACAAGGGTGCGCAGAGGGGTGGTCTCTCAGCGCGGCCGCTGTCCACTGCACTGTCGCAAAGCCTAGCAGGCGTGGCACTTCCTCGACACCACAGGTGGTGCGCAGAGGGGTGGTCTCCCAGCGCGTCCGCTATCCACGACACTGTCGCAAAGCCTAGAAGGCGTAGCACTTTCTCGACACCATTGGGGGTACGAAGGGAGGGGTCTCTGAGCGCGGCCGCTATCCACGACACTGTCGCGAAGCCTTGCAGGCGCAGCAGTTTCACGACACCAGAGGGGGTGCGCAGGGCTGGGTCTCTGAGCGCGGCCGCAGGGGGCACCAGAGAGCATAGTGGCGGTGGTAGTGGTAGTGCGGTTCACGCAGGACATAAAAGAAGTATGTGGGGTTCCTCGGTAGCGTAATCTCCCCCTTATTCACCATCGCCTAACGAGCTCCCATTACCTTCCTGTTCCGAGAAAGCGCTTCCCGTCGTTCCGCCATCATCTCGTCACGTGGGCGGCGAGATGACGTAGCGACCGAACGCCGCGGCCCGCGCGGGACGCCGGCGCGGCACGCTGCATTGGAAACGAGGGCGCACACGCGCGACCGTACGCGGGGAAACTTGCGCGCCAATGTCGGCGCAATTGGACCCGTTTTCGCTCGTCGCCCATTTGCCTTGGAGAAGACATAAGAAAGCTGAGGGGAACCAGCGCAAGACACTGCCGAGTGTCATCATATCCGCTCGCGGTGGTGGCGAAAAAGGTCGCACTGACCGTGCACCGCACCATATTTGAACTCCATTCAGGCCCCGCTCCAGCGCGGTACGGTGCGTAGTTTTTTGGCCACGAGGGCACAAAAAGAGTATGCACCGTAATCACGTCTGGGTCGAGAACCGACGACGCCTCGAGAGACGCCGGCACAGTACGATGCACACAAGTCCTCCGCGGATGGGGGTTCTATCAACCTCCGACTCGTCGCCCAGAGGGAATGCCAAAGGAGCAGCAGACGAGGAGGTAGACGCAGCAGCTGGCCGCGCCCACCGTCAGCTGCACGGCCTCGAAGTCCATGCCTATAAGCCTCCCAGATGGGGCTGGAGTAGATGGGTTCGGAGCATCGCTCTGCATCGCCGATGCATCGGTGATGCATCGGCGATGCATCCGCCACGTCGGCGATGCGTCGGAGCCGAGGGCGCGGAGACAAGTCGGGCTCCACATCGAGCCGCATCGGCGACGCATCGGCGATGCGGCGCGATAGCCCTGAGCTCAACCGATCTGAGTCCCCACTGGCGTGACCCCGCTGGCCGATTTTACCCCCCGAGATGAAGATAAACGCTGCCGCCACGCCAGCCTGGCGGCGCCTGGCGCCGCTCGCCTGGCGCCGATGCATTGCAGACGTGGCAGATATCAAAGGCTCCCAACTTCGCGCTTCGCGCTGCGCGAAGCGCGAAGCGCGAATAACTTCGCGCTCTCGCGCCGACCCCCCAAGGGGGAGAAGAGGAGGACGAGGAGGAGGGGGAGGAGGAACGAGGACCGCGAAGCGCGAATAACTTCGCGCCCTCCTGGGAGCCCTTGGATATGCATCGGAGGTGCGGCGCCGATGCATCGCCGATACATCGGCGATGTATCGGCGAGGCGGCGCGGTCCCCCGACCCTATCTCTTGCCATCGCACGGGCGCCCATTCCCCGTGCATGTTCTCGGCTTCGTGCGCCTCTTCCTCCACAGGGTGACCCAGGGTTAAGTCGGGCCTGTCCTTCTACAGGAGGCGTATTCAAAAAGAAATTTAAAACATGCCTGGGGTCTTTTAAAACAGCGAAAAAAAAGAAAACACAAACAAGTAGTATGTGTTTGATTAGTTGGGTGTATTTTTAGTGTCTTATCTTTATGCTCACCCAAAATCCGCCTGTAGGGGGGCATGCCCGACCTAAATCCAGGGTGCTCTTCGGCGGCCCTCGCTGAGAACAAAGGCACACGACCGAGCGATGCCAGCCGGCGCGAGTCCCCGACCCCATCTGGGAGGCCGAGACATGCCGCCACACACCAGCCTGGCGACGCCGAACGCCGCTCGCCTGGCGCGGCCAGCCTGGCGCCGACGCATCGCCGACGAGTTGGATGGAGCGCGTTTCTTTATTTTCGGCGATCCGATGATGGGCAGTTTAGGGGGGGGGGAGGGGCCGGGGGGGGTATAATGTAACGCCTTCCCCCCCGCCGTGCGCACGGCGGCAGTGTCCAGAGCGCACTGAGGGGGGGAGGGGCGATACGACATAGGGGGGGGAGGGGGGGCCGGGGGGCTATATGCCCATTATGCCCCAAGCAATAAAGAAACACGCTCATGCATCGCCGATGCGGCGCGATCTCCCGACCCCTGGAGCCAGGCGAGGGCCCCGAAAGGTCCCAAAGAAGAAAAGCCTCCGTCCTGTTTTTTATGTACGACGCGAACATGTCTGTGAACACCCTGTTCGGACGCCATCTGAGCGACGACAAAAAAAACTGGTCTTACGCTATATGGCAAAGCGACCTTATGCGGTGGCTTGCGCGGGCCGCCGGCGCGGCGCGCTACTCTGGAGACGAGGGCGCATACGCACGAACGTGCGCGGGAAGCCTACACGAGAATACCCGAGCACTACAGCAATCGAACCCTTTTATTTGCGTCGCTCATCTGAGAGGCCTTGAACCCCAGAACCCCGACGTCATGATTGTTTCAAGACGTTGACCCCAAGAGGTCTCGATCTATTCCTCGGGACTGGTTCTTCATCCTGAGTCGTTGTTGGACGGTCCAGAGGTCCAGTGAGGGCCCCCTGAAATATGTAGCTCCCATCGTACTCAAGGACCACGGCCCAGAAATAATTCCGATCACCCAGAAAAGTATCGAAATAGTGTCTGCGCGACACGTTAGCGAAGTGTCGAACGAGTATCGCCTCCCAAGGCCCGACACGTGAAAACCCGCCAGTTTGGGTACTTCCCTGGTTCTCGAAATTCCTTCTGGTGACCACGGTTAAAGAATAGGTCGGAGCATCATAACCTCCGAGGCCCAAAATAAAGAAAAACCTGCCGTCGTGATTTTTGTTGGGGCTCCCAGCGCGGATCCAAAAACCCCGCGAGGAGCCGGAACAATTTATGGCATTCCTATAGGCCTACCACGAAATATTCTTAGAGAGCAAGAATGTGCGAAACACAAAAACAATATTCGTAGAGCGTTCAACACGATATACAAAAACAAGACAGTCCCAGCCAGAAGTGCTGTGACAACATTTCCTCGAAGCCACACATGGTACGTCGCACCTCGTCTGGTGGGCTTTTAAGTTTAAATCGGGCGTGCCCCCCCTACAGGGGGACTTTCGACGAAAACTAAAAAATAAGTCAAACAATATTCCCAAATGGCCAAAAAATACTCCAAAAATAATCCCCTGATTATTTTTCGACTATTTTTGAACATTCCCCCTGCAGAGGGACAGGCCCGACTTAACTCTAGGTGCTCCAGATTTCGTAATAAAGGGAGGGGGGTCTAATTTCGGGGGGGGGGTCTCTTCCAGGCCATATTGGAGGGCCTGGGCGGTCTGGGGACGATGTTTTGGAGGGTTCTCCCACGGGGGAGGTCTGAAATGGCTCGTCTTGGAGGGTCCAGACCCCCTCCCTTTTATTGCGAACTCTGGACTACGAGGAGGAGGAGGAGGAGGAGGAGGAGGAGGAGGAGGAGGAGGAGGAGGAGGAGGAGGAGGAGTGGGACGCCTCGCCGCTGCTTGGCTTTTCCTTCCTCGACGCCTCGTGGCGCCCACCGCCGCCACGCCCGGCGCCCGCCCGCCTGCCGCGCGATACGCGGCGCCCCGCCCGCCGACCAACGCGGCGCCCTGGGCGCTGCTCGGGGCGCTGCCCGGCCCTGTGGCGGTCTGCGGGGCGCCGGCGCCGCGGCCGGCACGCGGGGGAGGAGGAGGAGGAGGAGGATAGGAGGCGGAGGAGGAGGGAGGGGGTGCCCGCCGGGGCTCGGGCCAGAGTGCCCGAGGTGCGTGCGCCCAGAGATCGCGGCCCGAGCGGCACGCTGGTGGCACTCTCTCCCCAGACCCCCTCGAGTAATGAAACAATCATGACGGGAGGTTTTTCTTAATTTTCGGCCTCCAGGGGCCCTCGCCGGGCCTCGGGAGCGTCAAAAAACGACTCGGGATGCCAGGCCGGTCCTGGGGAAAGTGTCCGGACCTCTGGGGGTCGACGTACTGAAAAAAACATTACGTCGGGGGTCTGGGTCCTGCGCAGCTGCGCAGCGAGCCTACAGAAAACCCTGGGCCGCAGCCAAAGGATTGCACGTGCCTCCTCGGGAGGTTATAGGGGGTCAACCTTGAACCCCGGTGGCAGCGCACAGCGTGCACGCTGCGTCGCTGTGCGTATCACCTCGCAGTCCCTTGCAGCTGGGGGGGTACGGGTTCCAGATGTGTCTTTCAATGTCCCCCGCCCACCCCCCCTTTGGGTTGGGTTGGGGCTGTTTTGAAGGGGAACTGGAACACACAAATAAATACACACAAATAAAAATATCCCCCATATTTTCCCATATTTTCTGGGGTTTTGTCTTCCCCACCACTTCCCATATTTTTTTGCATATTTTCCTGGGAGTCGACGATTCATTGTGTCTGTGTGTTTCTTTCCCTCCTGATGTTTGGTGGGTGGTGAATAACTTCGCGCTCTCGCGCCGCCCCCCCCCAGGGGCGAAGAGGAGGATGAGGAGGAGTCGGAGCCGAACAGGGACGCGCGGAGGCAGGAGGACCGAGGAGGCAAGGAGGAGTTGGTGGAGGCGGAGGAGGAGGAGGAGGAGGAGGAGGAGGAGGAGGAGGGGGAGGGGAGGAGGGGAGGGGGGGAGGGGGAGGAGGAGGAGGAGGAGGAGGAGGAGGAGGAGGAGGAGGAGGAGGAGGAGGAGGAGGAATCACTCCGCGCCCCCGAGGGCGCCCCTGTGTGCCAGACCCTGGGCCCACGCTGCAAGTGGACGACGACGCCCCCGCCCTTCTGCTGCATCTTCGGGGGGACCTTGTCTGTCCCGTCGCGGCCCTGTCCGCATCGAATCCGTGCCGAGTCCACGTCGGACTCGTCGGATCCGTGTCGAATCCGTTTCGAATCCGCGTCGGATCCGCGCCAAATCCGCGTCGAGTCCGCATCGAGCCCGCGTCGGGCACAAGAAAAGGCACCACATTGGGGGACAGGCGAGGTCCCCCGAAGATGCAGCGTGAGAGCTCTGACAGAGGCCAGGGAGCAGCGGCCCCGCCTAAAGCACGGCCAGCGCCACAGCACGGGCCGCGAGGAAGGAAGGCCCGCAGGAAACCCATGGCCGCCTCCGAGCCCAGACCCCCGACGTCATGCTTTTTTCATTGCGTCGATCCCCAGAGATCTCGACCCATTCCCATGACCCGTTTCTCATCCTGAGTCGTCTTCTGACGGTCCCGGGGCCCGTTAAGGGCCCCCGGAGGCCGAAAATCAAGGAAAACCTCCCGTCATGATTTTTTGCCACTGCCCGAGGGGGTCTGGGAGCACGAGCCCACAGGGCCCCCGCAGGCCCCCAAACTCTCGAGCCACACTCCCATAAGGCGGTGGCAGCTGGGCGCCGCCTGGCAGCCACCCGCTCCAAGCACTGCCCCGCCGCGGCGGCGGCTAGCCGCCGCGCCGAGCCGAAGCGCGGCAGGGCCCTGCGGGGGGACGAGAGCGACGAGGGCGAAGGACCATGACCAAGACTGTGTGCTGAACTATCGTGCCGATCTTGGTCACCGTCCGTCTTGGCCAGTGTCAAACGTGGGTCATCCTCGCGCGGATCGGCGACGGCCAGCATGGACCACGACCAAGATTGGCATCGACAAGAGCCCTCGACATCTTGGTCATGTTCCCCGTGTTTCTTCCCTCGAATGGAAAAAAAGGCCCCACAGAAGTGGCCCACCGGAGGAGCCACGATGCGGCCGCAGCCGCGCCACCTCGCAGGGAAACCTTTGCGGCCTCGATCGTGCATCACCGCTGCAAGGGCCGTCTTCAGTATGTCTGGGGGGCCAGCTCCTGAGGGTCGGGGTGCAGGGCGCTCGGGAGGGCTTCCCTTTTCAATCTGCAATGTCTGCTCGGGATCAGCTGGCCGCCATGGGCGACGCGCCGACAACTCCAGAGATGCACCACCGACATGAAAAGTGTCAGGTTCCTGCGCGCAGCTCTATGGAAAGGCAGGGGACCTGGCCCAGGAACGTACTCAATAGAAGGAATAGGCGGACCAGGAGGAGGACGACGAGGAGGACGAGGAGGACGAGGAGGAGGAGGAGGAGGACGAGGAGGACGAGGAGGAGGACGAGGAGGAGGGGGAGGAGGAGGAGGACATGATGGAGGAGGTAAGGGGAGAGAAGGTGGAGGACCCCCCCTTTTTCCTGTCACGCGCGGTGGACGAGGGGCGAGGGAAATCGACAGCGAAGATTGCGGGACGATGAGGGCGAGGGCGGGGGGGGCGAGGACCAGGCCGAGGCCGGAGAGGAGGGAACGGCTGGGGGGGGGGGGGGGGGCGGGGCAAAAACCAGGACGAGGACGGGGGCGAAAACCACCTGGGGCGAGGCGACGGCGAGTACCAGGACGAGGCTTGCTGCTATGCTGGGCGCGCCTCCACCCTCTGCTCCTCATCCATGTCCTCCAGTTCCTGCATCCTCTCCTCCTCCTCCTCCTCCTCCTCCTCCTCCTCCTCCTCCTCCTCCTCCTCGTTCGCATCCTCCTTCTCGTCCTCCTCCTCCTCCTTCTCCTCCTCCTCCTTCTGTAGGAACCACTGCTGCGCACCGAAGCCAGCTTGAGAGCCTCGAGCCCAAGATGAAATACTCCATATCGAAATCACCCGCTTATCTTTTCATGGGTGACGGAGCTGTGGTGAGCGACCCTCGGAGGATACTTGCATCCCCAACCCCAAGTAGGGCTCTGGGAAGACACAAGTCAGTGTAAGATCCCCACCCCCAGCAGGGCTCCGGGAAAACGCATAAATAATGGCATCAGTGATAGAGACAAAACTGTTAGGACGAGACCTCAAATATCAATCTGGATATGATACCGCATGGAACGATTGATGCTATCGTTTCGAATCCTGCTGTGGAGCTGTAAGCCCAGTAATGTTGCAGAACACGGAACGTGCACGAGGCCATGCGAGCCCCATCGCGCGAGCAGCTACAGCAGAGGATGTAAAACAACATGATGTGGGCCTGGCCTACATTCTAAAGAGTGTTGTGACTGTAGAGATGACGAAAGTATTGAGGAAGCTAAAGAAAGGCAATAGTCTTGAGATGTGGCGTAGGATGTGCATCAAGTATGGGCACAAAGACAAACATACGAAGAGAAGGGTTCTGAATGCAGCCATGGTCGGAAACTGGAGCATATACTTTACCAGTGGCGGGTGGTTGCTCAATCCCAAGACTTTTTTGAGGGTCGGGGACGGCGTCGGGGTGGTGTGGTGTATACTCAATTCCCCGTTTCCCTGGGGAAACAACATAGAATGTATACACTAGGATCCCGTATACACCAGGATCCGCTTTCCTGTGCAAGATTCAGTGTGAGGCCAGACAAAGGCGTCGGTGTATAGAGTTCGGTTCCCTACATGGACTTTAATTTCGCGGGCGCCTTCCTGCCAGAGGTTCTCGAGCGCCTCGAAGAGATGGAGTTGCTCACCAAAGAATGCGATGGTCTAGCTTCCCCAGACGAACTAGCAAATTACGTGATCGTTCGCGTGGTCACGAAGACGTTTCCGGAACCAAAGAAAACACACTCCAATTGAATGGTCATGTGTATGAGACCTACGAAGACCTCAAACGAGAGATACACAGATACATCGGAATCAAACGCTCCTGGAAAACAGCTACATGTGGCAGAAGACTTTACGGCACTACGCCCATGGAAGTAGATGACCTGAAGGGTCTCCCAAAGGATCCTCAAGGGGTGACCAAAAGGGCTCTCCAAAAAGATCCCCCAGAGGCACCCCGAAAAGACGTTCCCAAGGATCTTGGTCTGGCCGTGGACACCGACCATCCACCTGGCGAGGTCAAGGTTCCTCCGCCCAGGCTCAGGGGTGGCACCGAAACAGGGAAAGGAAGCCACTCCAACGAACAAGCATGGGATCAGAATTCGCGGGGTCCTGGTTGGTCTTGGGACGAGCAGGGAGACGGAAACCAGGATGCAGGAGTCGTACAGGACGACGCAGACTGGCCTTCGTGCCCCCAGCACTCCCCCGAGGAGTTTGCGGCATTGATGCCCGCGAGCGCCTTGCTGCCAGAAGGCGAGGACGAACTCGATAACGAAGACGGGGTTCTAGAAGTAAGAGTTGACCAAGTTAGAATCGTGGAAACTGTTTCAATTGGCTCTCAGACTGACACCTTTAGCGAGGCCGATCGCACACGGGGTGTAGCAGCGGGCTCTGGGACAGATCCCGCGAGCGAGGATTCAACGGTCGAGTTGTTCGAATGCCCCCTGGGGTTTGACATATCCTGCGGCAATTCGACAGTCCACAACAAAACCGATCATAACGTCGCGTGTTCTTGGATTCGGGGGGTCAGGGAAAATCTTGTCGGTGATGTAACCCGCTTTCTTGTCTCGCTCGTGTCGAAATTCATGTAGTGTGTAGTGCTGACAACTTTTCTCTTCTCAGCACTGATGTGTGCTGGGGCCAGCGGGCAGCAGGGCGTGAACATGTTCATCGCACCATGGGGGGAATGCATCGGAGAGGTCGCAACGCAATCCGCAGTTGCAGGTATTGATGGATTCTGGCACCTTTGGCCATGTACGCAATGAAGAGTTTGCTCCTCATATTCCTCTTATCCGTTCCTAGGAAGCGGGTGGGGTAACCGCATAAGGACACAACATGACACACTCAGGACCCAAGGACGTCCCGATCGTGATCCTAGGACAATGGTGCGTCAGCGGTGTTGGTTGTGCGACTTGGCGTATTCAAAGACGTATGCACAACTCTGGTCAGCATCAACCGACCCGCGTAATGGAAAATATACATATTGCCTTCGACACGAAATCGCTATCGCTTAACAGGCCCTGGCATATCCAACAAGTTTATCATCAGATAATGGGATTGTCTTTATCGAGCTGCATGCCGCTTTGCAGATCCAACTCACATTATGCCACAATTTGAGAATCTATCGTCCCATCGGCGGCTTTCAGACCTTTGGATGAACCGCCGGAGGAGCTCCTGCAGACAATCCAAGCGAGATTGCAAAAGGTAAACTGGGCGACCACCTCTCAGGGAGAACCTGACGTGGAAACGCCTTGAGCTCAGAAAGCGACCAAACGATGACATCAGGCCAGGACGAATCATCACTGTGCTTGTCCGTGCAGATGCACCAGCCAACACAGAGAAACAACGATCGCATCAACAAAAAAAACAGAGACGCAACAGGTGCTTAACAGAGTCTCTCGGGAGGCGCACCTCAACAGGTAGGAGGATCAGGGTCGCAATCGCACGCTTCGGACAAAATGAAGCCGCCAGCAGAAGTTCGAAGACTTCCTACAGGGACACATGTGATAGGTGAAGTCATAGATGTTGTAACTACTTCTCCAATTGGGTGTCTTTGCTTGGAGAACATGACGGACGGGCGCAGGTCAACCTGGGTCCAAATGTCGAAAGACTCTGTGTGGAAACTTCTGGGAGATGACGTGTCGATAGCAGACCTGCCGCGCAAGGATAAGACATTCGACTGCATTCCCTCGATGCAACATCAGCCGCTTGAGTCGATAACCATGTTCAGGCCCTCGAGGGGGTCACAGGCGTCACAGCCACAGCGAGAGGAGGTCGACGCGGAAAGAACGAAATGAACAGAACTGAACTGGACCAACGCGGAAAGAACGAAATGAACAGAACTGAACTCATATCCCTTATAGGGATTGGTGCGAATGGTGCGTGCGTGGACGCGTCAAGCAGTCTCCGCGCAAACACCTGGAAAAGTCTGCAATCCTCATTGTGCGATGGATTACTTATTTTTGACAACTCGCGGCGCCACCGCTGTAATCACGTGTGTGTATGAAATTGATGTTGCAAACGGTTACGGCGCTTGCAGCCATGTAATCAGTTGCCAAGGGGTCAACTGACTCGCATGCCGTCTGAGCAGCAGAACAGCTCGAGCATGCTGGTATTACATGAGAAATCATCCTGCAGACGGACTCAGAGACTTTCATCAAGGATTTGGCGTAAGCAGTGGCCGTAAAACGAGCGCGTGGGGAATCAGACAACAACCCCGAGCACACACCTTCGTCAAACACCAGTGGGATCGAAACAGTCAAACGGGACAGTGGAGAGATTTCACCAAACCTTTGAAGACCTTCTCCGAATCCAGAAGCTGGCTTTCGAGGGGAAGTACAAAATGGCAGCTGCGGCTCGCTAGACTCCCGCTTCCAAGAACACGCAGACGGAGAGACATTTTTGGAAAGGTGCAAGCGACACGTGTATCATGGATTAGTTTTGGAATTTGGGGAATGTGTGAGCGCGCGTTACAACGGACTCGTCACGAACAAGATATGACCACATTGGGTTGCCGGAATTTGTTTGGACAAGGCGGTTGGCACTGACGAACGTATCATCGCAACGCCCAAAAGACTCATGCAGTCCCGGAACATCCGGCGAATGGTAAAGACTGCGCGACTAAACCCAATTCTGACTAAGTAGATCTGCGGCGTACATTGGGACTTGAACCGGCGGCCTGGCGCCGAAAGTCAGCCAAGCTCGGCGCCGCAGGACAAACCGTATCCGCAAACCACCATGCCAGATCAACATCCGAGCGAAGCAAATCGAAACTTACATTTGTTTTGGAGCGAGTGTGGTAAGACGGAGAAATGCAAAGCGTGCCAAGAATGTGCTCACAGAAACACGCACTCTGCAGCGTGCAAGCGGAGGAAACCAGAATGGGCGTGAAAACACGCAAAGAAACTTAAAAAGGACGAAGACAATCAGGAAACATGGCCTCAACAGCAGCCTTCCAAATACGAAGTAAAACGCAGGGTGAGTTGACCGCGACGCAGCTGGATCTTCTGGAAGAGACGCACAACCAGCGCCACGAGACCCACAGCCTGCACACAAGCGGAAACCCAGGATTAGCAATAAGGAATTATAGGAGCTTGCTGTCGCCAGAGGTGCAGCAACAAGCTCTGAAGCGAAATGCGGAAGCTGAACATCCAGACGCGCCTAGGTCGATGGTAATGTCCGTGATTTGACCGATCTACAACGCTGACGAGAACCAATACGTTTGCGGAGAACCCGAACCGAAAGCCGCGGACAACTCATATACCAACGACGCACTTCTCAAAGAGTGCTTCTCGGAACTAGAACTCTTCGACGAATTCACGACGTCGAGAAAGGGATGTCGAAAGAAATCGAGAATCTAGCTTGGTTTAATGTCTACACGTGGTGGCCGGACCACAAAGAAGAGAGCAAACCGATTGAAACATGTTGAGTCCATAAGAGAGAAGGAGACGACGATCGATCGACATTGTGTGCACAAGACTTGAAGTTTAATAGCACTCGAGATGATGTTTTAGCTGCGACCCCAACGTCGATAGGATTGCGCATATTCGCATAGTGCTAGCGATAACCATGGCCCATAATCTAGGGCTTATGTCGGGAATTCTACTGTAGCCTTTATGCACGAAGACCTAACCGACGATAGTGTTTTCTGCAGGACCCTGGATCCAGACGGGCATCATCAGGAGAGGAGCAGATCCCAGTTGAACAGAATGGCAATTGGAATCTTACCGGATCCGATCAGGGAGGTCGCAGACCTTAGATCCAGAGGGTTTCCGGTCGGACTGCACGGATGCAGAGGGTTTCCAGAGGGTTCCAGAGGGTTCAAAGGGTTGTAGAGGGTTTCCAGGAGGGTTTCCAGAGGGTTTCCAGAGGGTTCCAGAGGGTTGTAGATCCAGCCCTTAGATCCAGAGGGTTTCCAGAGGGTTCGACTGGAAATGGGGCAGACACGGATGCAGAGGAGTCCACTCGGATGCGAGTGGGGCTCCGAAGACACGGCAGTAGGAACGAAGCGTTGACCTAAGGAACCCTAAATAAGGAACGAGGCCCTTTTTCCCCCAAAGTAAAACTTCTATTTCCAATGGAAAACCGAAAGACAACTATAAAACGATCAAGGAACGCCGAGCCCCTCCCCAACGATAAGGGTTCCTTCTTCAGCGCCCCGACTGTAGGAACGAGGCAGGCGTCCAGATGCAGAGGAACCAAATGGGGCCTCAGTAGTTCCAGGACGAGAATCGAGCATGCCAGCGTACAGTAAGGGCGTTGACCTAAGGAACCCTAAATAAGGAACGAGGTCCCTTTTTTTCCATAAGTTAAACTTCGATTTCCGATCGACAGCCGAATTAAAACCTTGGACAAGCTGTGAAACACTCAAGGAACACCCAGCCCCTCCCCTACGAAAAGGGTTCCTTCTTCAGGGCCCCGACTGTAGTCTAAAGGGTTCCCAGTTGGACAGCAGCAGACGCCAGACCCAGAACACCTCAAAGGGTAGCAAACATGCTTCACAAGGAAAGGGAACAAGAAAAAGATCGAGGAAGAGAGATAGAGAGAAAGAGAGAGAGAGAGAGAGAGACAGACAGACAGCCCCCGAATAGTCCCACATGTTACCTCCGCAGGGGAGCGAAGGAGGGGGGGTGCATAACGTGCGACATGGCCCAGAGGGTAACCAAAACACACACGCTCCACCGGACGCGGCCCTAGACATGCGACGTCCTGTCTTCCACGCGCGGCACCAAGAAATCCCAATCCTTTCCCAAGCGCTGGCTTCTCATCCCCAGTCGTCTTTTGACGGTCCCGGGGTCCGGCGAGGGCCCCCCGAGGCCGCAAACGGGGAAGCACTTCCCATCCCCAGACCCCCGACGTAATGACTTGTTCATTACGTCGACCCCCAGAGGTCCCCACGCTTTCCCCAAGACCGGCTTTGCCTCCCGAGTCGTTCTTGTTGACGGCCCCGAGGCCCGGTGAGGGCCCCCGGAGGCCGAAAATGAAGAAAAACCTTCCGTCATGTTTTTTTTCATTTCTCGAGTTGAGCAGGGACCGACCGTCCCGGCATTCCTATAGTCCTACCACGAAACGTTCTTGGAATCCAGAAATGTTCCAAGAACGCAGGCAATGTTCTCACAACATAACCCCGGTGCGATAAAACAGCTATAAGAACACTTCGTGGAAACAACCAAAAGGCTCTTAGAACATTGTTTGTTCAATACGTCGGATACGTTGGATCTCTGGGGGGGCCGACACTGGCCATCGCTCGGACGTCCATTTCCTGTGTTTTTGTTCGGCTTCGTGCGTGGCTTTCTCGCGAAATGATCAGGGATGCTCCTCGATGGCCCTCGCCGAAGGAACAATGCACACGTCCGAGCGATGCCAGGGACAACGGGGACGCACTTCCCTGCGGCCGGGCCCCTGGCGGCCTGTCGCCCGCGGCGGCGCCCTCCAGCTGCGCCTCCGCGCGCAGGGCGCAGAGGGCCAGCTGCGGCGCCACGCGGAGGGCCGTCTGGTTCACCTGGCGCGGGAGGGCCCTCGGCGGCCGCCAGAGGCCCTCGGCGGCCCTCGGCTGGGCCTCCGCCTCCTCCTCCGCCTCCGCCTCCGCCTCCTCCTCCTCCGCCTCCTCCTCCGCCCCCTCCTCCTCCTCCGCCTCCTCCACCGCCTCCTCCTCCTCCGCTTCCGCCTCCGCCTCCTCCTCCTCCTCCCCCTCCTCCCTGTGCACCTCTCCTCCATGTTCATCTCTTCCTTCTCCGTTGGGCCGTTGGGCTCTTCGGGGTGGTGGGGAGGTCCGGCCCCGTCGTCTTTCCTTTTCTCCTGGGCTGGGTGGTGGGCTCGTGAAGGAGTGGACCCGCCTGGGATTGGGCCGTCAGGATGGGCGGCTCGAGATGGAAGGCGTCCTGAGCGCACTTGCACATGCTTTCCCCCATGAGCGAAGGCTGGGGCCTTGCGGCGTTCGGGGGGCCGACCTCCTCCTGCAGCATCGCGAGGAGGGAAGCTGTCAGGCAATGCCCAACGGTCGACTTGCTTGTCGCAGCATTGCGGTAGCCAGAGACTCACGGGATCTGGAATCCTGCCGGGAAGGGCGTCCCTCCTCCAGCTATCCTTTCCACGCCCCAGGGTCTTCCAAGATTCGTCTTGCATCAGGGTCCCCAAATACCATGAGCTGTATGTCGATCGACGGCAAGGCATCTGGACTGGCCGTCTGGGAGCGACCTCGTGCCAGGGGGGTCGAAGGCTCAGTACAAATCCCACGTCGGGGCTCTTGTGACGGAGCGCTGCCGCAAAGACTCGGTCCGAGAATTCGGGGCGCACCTCCAGCCGCTCCCCATGCCTCACCCTGGGGCCGGCACCGTGCACAGACTTTAGCCGAGCGTTGGCCCTCTCCCTTCCGCGGGAGGTCCTCTGAGGCCAGCGCGCGATGGCGCGTGTGAGGTGGCGTCTTCTCCGCCTTAGTCATCTGGCTGGGGCGAGCTCGTGGGCCTCTGAGCAACAGTGTAATCTCTGTGATGTCCGCATCCGCAGTCCTACCTTCCACCTCCTCTCCAGCTGCGCCGGGACCTCTGTATGGAGGCAGCTTTTCTGCAACGCCTGGAACACTGGCCCTCCAGAGTCGCCCCCAAGACGGCACAGGAGGCCTTTAAGACGCCCAAGATGGCCTCCAAGACGGCCCTGGAGCATTCCAAGAGCGCCCCAAGTCGGCCCATAGAGGCCCCCCAAACGGCTTCCGACGGCGTCAGACGGACGAGGAGCCTGCCAAGACGGCCAAACATGGCCCTAGGATGGCCCAAGACTGCCCAAGAGGCCTCCAAGAGGGCCTCCAGGAAGGCCCGAAAAGGCCCAAATCATTGATTCCCCATGGGTTTTTGAAGGATTGTGGCATTTGCTTTTTTCTGCCTTCCGACGGCCCGAGACGGCCCAAGTGCCCCCAAAGATCGCCCAAGAGGCCCAAGACACGGCCCCAAGAGGCCCCCAAGACGGCCCAAGAGGTCTCCAAGACGCTCAAGATGGCCTCCAAGAAGGCCCAAGAGCCCTCCAAGACGTCCTCCAAGAAGGCCAGAAAGGTCAAAATGGCATCCAGACGGTCAAGATGACCTTCAAGATGCCCACGTGTTCCCCGAAGGCTTTCCAAACCGATTCGGGGAACACATGGTCCGACAGCTTGGCAGGTCTGGCCTCAACGTTCGGCCACATAGGCGCTTCCAAAAAGGCAGGGGGCGGCGGTGATTCGCCGTAGGCGTCTTCGATAGCTGGCATACGCGCCGCGTCACGACTTTTGATGCTGCGCACCACTTCGACAACCCCCCGGGGAGCGGCCGGTGATGCGCCGCCGGCGTCCTCGATATATATATATATATATATATATATATATATATATGAATGTATGTATGTGTATATATATGTATATGTATGTATGTGTGTGCAAATGTTAACGAATAGGTGTGTCTCTGTCTCTTTCTATATGCATACACATATGTATTGATCTCTCTCTCTCTCTTTCTTTCTCTTTCGGTCTCGCTTCAAAAGGGCCAACAAAACTCGAGGACCCCCTCGTCCTGTCATGCTGCATGAATGCAGCCCCCCTCCTGCTGCATTGCAGCCTGCCCGCGGCCAAGAGACGGCCCCCTGCGGCCGAAGCCCCCCTGCCGCGAATTTTTGCGAACCCTGCACATGCGACGGTAACTAGTACGACCTCGAGACCAAACATAACAAAAAACAAGCCAGAGAGATTGCTGAGCTCAAGAAACGCATCCACTGATTCTACATGTCCCGCGAATTTTCTGAGCACGACGACTCAGGGTGCGCCTGCGTCCGAGGTGCTGAACTCCGACTTTGCGATGTGTTCGTAACATCCACCGAAAAAGGTGTGGCCCTTCTCCAATACTGGTTTTCCATCCCCAGGTCAGTTTTGCGACGCTCCCGAGGCCCGTTGAGGGCCCCTGGCGACAAAAACGGCGGCGCGCCAGAGGGGGGAAGCGAGAGGGGGCAGGCCTTCCCAGAAGAAGGCGGGGCTTTTCAGAAGGCCTCTTGCCTTCTGAAAAGCTGTCTGTGTCTTCGAGGAGGGCTCAAACAACTTCTCAGAAGGCCAAAAGCCTTCCGAGACCTCTGAGGAGGCCCGCCCCGTGTCACTTCCCCCCAAAGCTCGCCGCCGAGGAAGGAGCCTAAATGCTGGCGTCGCGACTTCATTCGCGACGGGACGAGGCGGTGTGGGGGGGCCCGCCAGAGTCGCCCAGCGCAGGCTCAGCGCCGTCCGCCGAGTTGCCCCCCCCCCAGTTCGCCTGCGTGCCAGCGGCGTCGACCGCGAGCGCGCGGGCCACCGCCTCGGCCGCCGCGATGGCCCCCTCGGTGGAACCTGTGGGTGGCGACATCCGAACCCTAGCCCCGCCCACCGTCGGTCATCCTGACTCGATTGGAGGCGGGTGTAAGGTTCGATTTCGCGACGTGTTCGACAAATTCCGAACCCTACCCGCGTCGCCCATCGAATTGCCTGGCCCATGGATCGGCGAGGGCAGGGGTAGGGTTCCTCCGCTGAGCCTAGGGGCCTAGACACTCAACATCTTGAGCAAATGCGAGGCGAAGTTGCTTTCACTGGTCTTCGTCATCCGGGCGACGAAGAGATATGGGTCTTGCGCAGGAGTACACTGTGACATTATGTTTAGGTCGGGCATGTCCCCCTACAGGCGGAGTTTGGACGAAAAATGAAAAACTCGAACATGCTCAAACATATCCTTAAAATAACAGAAACATCGTCCCCATACTATGTTTGACTACATTTGAATATTCCTCCTGTAGAGGGGCGTGCCCGACTTAAGTCCTACGCAAGCTTACGCCGCGGATGTCGCGGGTTCGCCAGCGTGACATACCTTCTGAAGAAGAGGGCAGCCTACGCGCCAGTGTCCGTCAAGACAGTGGAGACGACACCATGTTTCTGCGTCGCTCATCTGGCGGCCGTTTCCTGGCACCGGGGCAGTCAACACACAAAAGCAGGATGAAAAACTGGGGAAGTGGTCGGGACGGCATGGTGCCCCGCAGCGGAAAAAAGGAAAAATGCCAGATGTCTGAGGAAAGCGCTCGTTTCCCTCCTCCTTCGTCATCAACGACCAACTAAGTATATGCAATGTCTGTTTGGATTTAACTGGCCTCCACGGGCGACGCGCCGACACCTCCAACGTTGTACCGACGACCAACAAATAAAGTTGTCAGCTTCCTGCGCGCAGCTCTATAAAAAAGGCAGGGGACCTGGCCCAGGAACATACTCAACGTCTTCGGGCGCGCGCCCGCTGCCTGTGCCAATGCCGCGGTGGGACTTCCACCTCCGCGCCGTGCACGCTCTCTGGCCCTCGCGCACGAGGACTGCATGTTGTGAGCAAGCTCCTCCCTCCCTCCCCATCGCGGTCTCTCCTCCTCCTTCTCCTCCTCCTCCTCCTCCTCCTCCTTCCGTCGTCCGCCGTCCGCCGTGCCCAATCCGACCACGTGCATCCCACGTCTGCCTTTGCACGCGGCCAGGACTCTCGCCCCTGCGACAAGAAAGCTGTGCCAGTGCCGCAATATGTCGCCACGTCAGGGGCCCCGCTTCTTTTTTTCGGGGGGCGTCTATCCATGGGCAACTCCTGGGGGGGTATCTTCGGGGACGTCGGCAGGCGGTGAATCTATATATCTATAGATATACACATACACATACACATACACAAACACATCGGGCCCCCACCATCTACAGAATACGTCCATCTCCACCGCCTGCCGAGGTCCCCGAAGATCGATCCCTCAGGCGGCGTCGATATATACCTACACATATATATATATAAATATACACATACAATATATGTATATGCACATATACATATATAAATATATATGTGTGTGTATACATACATACAACACTAATTCCCGACTCGGATCTTGGTGCCTGCGCGGGGTGGGGCAACCGACGCCGCAAGGTCGCCCGTTGTGGGAACAGTGGCACGCCAGGATCTCAGGGCCCGCAGAGCCTGGTCGGGCCGAGCGCAAGTTGCCCCACCTTCTCCAGCGCATCTCTCTCTCTCTCTTTCTCTCTCTCTCTCTCTCTCTCCCTCTTGCTCTTTGTTTGTTCTCTCTCCCTCTCTCTCTCTCTATACTTCTCTCTCTCTCTCCCTCTCTCCCTCTCTCCCTCTGTCTTTCTCTCTTCCTCTCTTTCTCTCCCCTTCCCCGCAATTCTAAATTTAGCTGCGGGGGGGGGGTCGGATTATCACGGCGCCCCCCATGCAGGAGGGGCCACAAATCGAGGCACGGGAGCAGGGGGGGGGGAGGGGGCAGTTCTGTGAGGCTGGGTTGCTTGGTCAGGGACGTGTTGCGGAATCCTGTGAGAAACCCACGTGGAAACGCTCGCCAGGGCATTTGAGAGAACGTCTCCTGTGTACGCTTCTTTGTATCAATATAAACATATACATATATACATATATGTATATATAAGCACATACATACATATATATATATATATATATATAAGATCCAGACCTCTCCCGTTCTGAGACAGCCAAGCTTCTGTCTTAGTGCAGTGACGGCTCTGGCCCTGCTTCCTGACACCACGTGGACCGCTCATCCCTGAACGATCGGCGGCCCCTCGATCGCCAGGTCTTTCCATGCTCCATAGCAGACGATTCTGGCCCCCTGGCGGCGTTCCGCCTCGAACCCCGTGGGACGTCGCCGCCGCCCCTGAGATCCGACGTCACGGAAAAGCATCTGGAAAAACCGCGACCGGAGCCCTGGACCCTATCTCTCTGCGCCAAGCTTCGAGCCCGCATCGCCCCGCGATGGATCCCCACGGCCCGACGCGGGGCGATAAAACACCCGGCGTGGCAAGTCACCAGGCCCAGATCTCGGAGGCGTCGACGCGCAGATGGGCCGTACGCTCCCACTGTCAGCGGCCCTCCAACGGGGACTCCACTGACGGGCACTTTGGCTGGTGAATTCGCGAACCCAACCCTCCCCGAGGTGGGCAACGCCGCAATGCCAGAAAGAGGCCCAAAAATGGCAACTTTGGGGCAACTTTCCGAACTACCCGTGAGTGCCGTTAGGGTGCCGCGGACACGGTTTAGACAGCGTCTCCCCGGAGCTTTTCTGGCCGCCCCCATGCCGCCCGACAGCGCGCACAATCGCGCGCGAAGGGGACAGGCTGCGTCTCCCCCACATGGCGCAATTTGGGCGATGCTGTCCGCTGTTGGTCGCTAGTGGGCGCGACTTGAGGGCTATTCGGCGCTACTTGGCACTATGAAAAAAAAGACGGTGTTGGGCGCTGTGTGCCGATACGCACTCAATCCAAGACGAGTGGATTCTCCCTTGATTTACTATCCAACGTGCGTTCCAATTGCGCGACGATCAAAAACGGGTCTTACGCGAGCTGACGCAGCGACCGTACGCCCGGCTTACGCGGGCAGTTGGCGCGGCACGCTACATTAGGGACGAAGGCGCTTAAGAACGACATTCCGCGGGCACCTTACGCGCCAGCGTTGGCGAAGAGGACCCCGTGTTTTTGCGTCGCTCGATTGGGACCCGTGGTCCCCAACGAGAGCCAGAGTCCAGGTGGCAGGCCGCGAGCGAGGCGGACGCCGACGGGTCGGGCGCGCCCAGCACCGCCACGGCGCTCGCGAACGCCTCGATAGCCTCGGCGTGGCGCCCGAGCTCCTTCAGCAGCGAGCCGAGGTTGAAGAGCAGCGGCACACCG